ATCACCCCACACCTGCAGTGCCACACCCTACCTCTATATCCCCCACAGACAGAGTGCCAGCCCTGCCCAGTACACCCCTATGCTGCCACCCCTGTAGCCCCCACAAGCGCAGTGCCACCCCAACCTCATCCTGCAGCCCCTACATCCCCTACATACAGTACAACCTCTATATCTCCGACCCCCACAGATACAGTGCCACCCCTACTCTCCCCTATATGTGCCCCTTACCCCATTACCCCCACAGATAGTGCTACTCTCTACCCCATTACACCTATAGATAGTGTCACTTCTTACCCTCCTTGGATATGCTGTCACCCCCCTAACCTCCCATACAGCGCCTCATCCTATGCAAGGTTTATTCCTAAATACCTCTTCCCCGTGGTTGTTCCTTCTCTGAAAGGCCTCTGTGTCCCTAAATCCTTCATCCCTCAGTTCCCCAATGGTTCTGTTTTGCAGACCATCTTGTTGGGACTGGCTCTGTGCACACTTGCTGGTTTATGGGTGTGGGGTTTTGGCCCATGCTGTCGGTCATGCTGGCCCTTCTAAACAGGTCTTACTGCCTTTTTTAAGTGTATAGGGAAAGTGCTTCTCCAGGAGGTTTAACTGATATGGTTTCAGAGTAGCAGCCGTGTTAGTCTGTATCCGTAAAAAGAACAGGAGTACTAGTGGCATCCGAAGAAGTGGGTTGTAGCCCACGAAAGCTTATGCTCTAATAAATTTGTTAGTCTCTAAGGTGCCACTAGTACTCCTGTTCTTTTAACTGATATGGGTGACACTGATGTGTGTCTAATCCCCCCCCAACTCCCCAATCTAACTTCAACCTTCTCTTTACAGCTGGAGCCATACATGGATGAGAACTTCGTTTCAAGAGCCTTTGCCACCATGGGAGAACTTGTTCTGAGTGTAAAAATCATCCGAAATAGATTGACAGGGTAATCATTTATGTTTCCTATCAGTTCATTTTAATAATATATTCTTGCATTTAGATTATCCCTTTACAAACCACAGGCCTCATTGTGGCCTTGTCTATGCCAGCATTGTTCTCCTTTACATTTCCCACCATTGCTACCAACAATGCAGCTACGCTGGTAAGAACCGTGGACGAGGCTGCTGCCGGTATCGGAATAGGGTTAGGCACCAATCCTATATTGCGTTTGCATGGACTTCTGTGCCCAAATAGAGCACCGCTGAAGATAGTGGGTGCCAGGCAGGCACCGCAATCCACCCCACCGGCACACTACACAGTAAAGGATGAAGGCCTAATGTGATAGGGTAGTTAAAATGCTAGTGACCAGTCTATACTAGTGCTACCACTAGTGGAGCCGCGCCAGTGTTAGCAAAGGTGAGAAATATAAAGAAAATACTTATAGTTTAGCCACAGTCTTGCTTGGCTCTTTTGATCTCCCTTATAAAGATTAGAATGAGACTAGTGGATGCAGATTAAAATAAAGTATCAGCCTTATGTAGGTTTGCTTGCAAGTAATTTAAATCCAACATTTAAAACTGTTACAAACTTCCCTACTAGAATCTATTTGTTTTTTTTATCTGTTTATTTAGGAAGTTTTAACAAGTTCACAAATCCTTGCCATGTCAATATCAGAAACAAAACAATCATTACAATGGTTGGCTTTTGTTTAAAGAGACATTATACAGGAATATAGTCATCAGGTCTTTTTGTTTAACAGGGTGTTACCATATTACAAAGTGAGCATCAGGAAATTGGTATTTTATTAAATGAAAAAGTACAAACATGGGGAGAAAAATTATTACCTTTGATTTTTGTGGAGTTTGTACTAAATTTATTATTTCTCCCTTCCCCCTCCACCTTGCTGGCTCTGCAACTGGAGTATACAGCTGACATGGCCTTGTGGGCTGTCACTTCATTGGTGATCATTTGCTGCTTAGTCGCTCCTCTGTGCAAGCTGAAGATGACATTTTGAAAATGTTCTCATTTCAAAATGGTGATTATAGGAAATTCCTCACCCGCTCTGCATCCTTCAGAGAATCATAAGTATTGCACTTTTGCCCAGATGAATTCTAAATTTTGTAATCTTAAAACTCTCTCTCTCTCTCTCTCTCTCTCCCTTCCCCCTGTATTCAGAATTCCAGCAGGCTACTGCTTTGTAGAATTTGCAGATCTGGCTACTGCAGAGAAGTGTTTACACAAAATCAATGGAAAACCGCTTCCTGGTGCCACACCAGTAAGTAAACCAAATTAATTAGTAGAGGAGCAGGAATGGGAGGGATGGAGAAAAGGGATCCCACAATAATTAGGAATTGAGATAAGCAGAATAATCAGCAAATTGGGAGTTCTTGTTTTCTTTAGGAGCTGATGAGTATGCAGTTACTAACATTCTTTATAGCAAAGTCTCTGGAAGGGTTTCATTAATTTTTAAGACATATACCTATTTCAGGGTGAATGGATGGATAAAACTTGGGTAGCAGCAGATATCTGCATTTGGGAATTTCTGATCCTTTGCAATGTTGTCAAAGCATGACAGATGAAAAACCAGGCAACAGGAAGGAAAAAGCAGGCTACGTATTCCTACCCGCCATGCTACCCTATGTAACCTGTTACCAGCACAATACTAGCTGATTACTTTGCACAGATTATATCATCTATGTGGGTTGAAATGGAGCTGAGATTTCACTGAGTTTTGAGTAACTTTGGTTTGCCAAGAGAAGCATGAAGTTCAAGCCTCACATCATTCTTGATCTTTAGCAACAAAAGTTACTCAAGTCCAGCTACACAGGAAATGCACATCAAAACTACACAAGCAATCTAAAATACAGAGTAAAGTATCAGTAAAGTAAAGTATCTAGAAATGTTGTTATGATTGAAGATTTGGTTTCCAGAGTGTCAGATTCTACTTGGTTAAGTTACAATTCTCTAAATTTGTATTCTGTATTTTATTTAAAAACACCAAAATGTGGAAAGTCTCATTCAATGGTGATTGTTGGTACTTTTGTTTTTTCTCCTCTCTGGAGATGTGAAAATGAAAGGCCCTGGTGTGTGTCCCAGGCTTCTGCTAGCCTTTTAGAATACTTTTGTAGTAAAGGCCGCCAGAATCTCTCGGGATGGG